CCCCCCCCCCCCCCCCCCCCCCAAAGGGACCCCATTGGAAGGGGGACTATGTCATGGACTGTATTGGGGAGTAGATGTTATTAAGATGGTTTATTATTGCTCATTATATTGAAATGGTGTATTGTGATGTTGTATTGTGTGATGCTGCTGAAACTGTTTATTTGTCATGGGTAATAGTGCTATCATAGGGGAGAGTAATTTCTGAAAAACACCCTGTTGGTTTTTCTTGAACGTTAGGTCCCCTATGTGGGTAGGGGCCCATTTGATGCCTATCATTCTGCATTAAAAAAAGAGGGAACTGTTCCTCTGCAGGGGTAAAATCACACTTCCACTCTTATATTTTGCATGAATTGAGTATGGGTTCCCTACTGGGGCTGGGGAAGCTGTGGGTTCATTGTGGATATATATCATTTTCCCTGGGGGTTGTGGTTGGGAGTGATTTTTCCCACAGTGTTATTGAGGGCTTGACCTTGGTTATTGGTAATGTCCTTTGTGTAAATATATGCATATAATACTTAGTTTTATATTTATGTATATTATATGTTAATAAATACTGTAAATAGTTAAGAGCCTGTCTTCTGTCTAACTGTACAGAGGTAGGAGGGAACCACGAGTCAGTGGTGGTGACGCCTCCCACAGCACCCTCATCTCTCCCTTGTGATTGGGATCAGGGCACACCCTTGGGTGTACCCGGGCTGCACTATTTTGTTTTGTATAGGAAGTCATTCCAAAATAGTAATGCCATGACCAGCAGTCGAACTCGGATAAACGCACAAACTCGGATCAGTACAACATGACACAAATAATGGCACGTTCTGGCAATTGCTTCTCAGTCCTGATCTTTGACTTATTAAATCAGTCCCAGTGCCTGGTGCAGGATCAGGCAGGAGGGGAAGGATGATGGGTGTGGGGTACAGCTCTACCAAAAAAGGAATTTGGAAGCTTTGAGAGAGTGATAAGGTGCTGTGCTTACTCTGTTTGTAAGCAGAGATGTGCTGAGGGGGAAGGGGCTATTCTGTGGCAAACTCACCACCTGGACATTAAAAACTATCCACTCTCCCTTCTCTCTGCCCTTAGATGTAATCTGGGGGTTCAGAACTGCCTAGTGTGTAGCTGTGGATAACTATCTCGTAGCCCAGTTTTTGTGAACAAACTAATGGCCTAAGTGTGGAGTTAAGTCCATGTTCTGGAAGGGCAGTAGGGCTGGACAAACATATGTTTCAGCTCCCCTCCCCCTTCCTTTCACCTTCCCCAAAGAACCTTAATGTAAAGGGTCGATATGAACATCATTTAATGCAGATGCACTATACATTCATTTCAAACTAAAGGAGATTCCTATTGAAAAATTGAGCTGGCTTTGTCAAACCAGTGGGGATTCCTAATTGTCCCAACCTAGCAGACACTGGTGACTACATGTTGATGAAATGATAGATTGACGTATGAAATGGCTGCATTAACAAAACAAATGTAATCTGCAATGATGACTCTTCAGTAATCAAAAACTGCACAATAGTCCAGAGCAGTAGTTTGTACAGTGGTAGGCTGGGGCGCCTCTCTCTTGCAGAAATTCAGAGTTGCTCAGCTGCTTATTTGTGAAAAATTGCTTGGCACAGAACCATTTGCCAAACAGGAAGGTCAACAAAAGGGAATTGCCTTGCAAAGGAAACACTCTTGACTTCATCCAGAAGAGGTCAGTGTTTGCCATACACAACAGTTCTTGTCCAGTTTGCTTCTAATTATGCTTTGATTTATATCTCTAAACACTCTATTCAGTGTACATGCTTTATATGCCATATTGCTTCAAATAAAGATAAAGCTATGAGCAGAGCTAAATTTCCCATGTACCCGTAACATTCTCGTTAGAATATTAGTAGGCTGGATATGCACAGTATATACAAAACTTATTTCTTGTTGTGTTATTGTTCAGCAGAGGAATTCAGCTGTCACAGCAAAACTGTCTTCACAGAAGTCAAGGTGACTCTGTTTAAATTCTATTGTAATTTTTTTTTGAAAATTTCATGTAAAATCACTAGTTTTAAAACTGGAATCTGTGAAGATTATGAAAAATATGCTTTTCTTTCATCTTGGAAGGATTATCCTTGTATTTTATTTAAGGAACGTATTAAAAAGATGTTGTTCTTGTACTGTTCCATCATGGAAATGGTTTAGGACAGGGATGTGCAACTTCCAAGCATGTGGGGGGCCACACCAGGGCAAGCAGTGGGCCCCCACTGCACCGCACACCCATGTGGGCATCCCTAGCTGCTGCGCTATGCACTCGTGTGGCCCTAGACTCGCTGTCTGGTGTGCCCTGTGCCATGCTGCACCCCCTGGTGTGAAGGCAGGAAGCCACAGCTGGAGAAGGGAGGGGAAGCCCAGAGCCCCTGGCGGCTGTTGCTCCAAGAGCCTAGGGAGAGTGGCAGTTGAGCAGGAGCCCAGGGGCCGCAATCTAATTGCTCATGGGCAGCCTGCTGCCCCTAGACCCCCAACTGGACAGCTCTGGTTTAGGAAATCATGGACAAATTTTTAAGTCCCTAAGCAGAAATGTAAGAGATCAGAGGCAGAGACTGAAGCTTTTCTTGGTTTTTGGAGGAGAGTGGGCTATGATGCAGTATGCAGTTTACATTCGTACTGCATATTGATTAGAGGGTTGGGGTTTAATCTGGTGTCAGTTGTAATTTTATTATCGGAAAAGAATACCATCTGCGGCGTTGTTTTAGTAACCATATTTTAAGATATGAAGAAGTTCCTTTTTCTTCACATCCATTTATTATTGCCTAGAGATTGGAAGCCTGCTGCTTATGAGCAATGGAATATAGCATAGCGATCTCTTTAGAAATAATGAATATGAGCATAACGTTATATAGCTAACAAAATGATGGTGATGTGTTCCATAAGTGTTTTAGTGCTGCATTTCTGAAACGGGCCAGCAGAAAAGAACCTCATCTTTTATAATTGGACTTTGCCATCCAAATTAATTTAACATTTTTTTTTTTATCTAACTTTAATCTATATAAGACTGGTTATATTGGTCCAGTTAAGACTGGGGATAGTGCTGGGAATAATTTAAAATGTAACTAATGTAAAATATATGGAGATGAAGATTTGATGCTTGTTCAAATGTGCAGATAATCGTGAATCAATTAATGTGTTTATGTAGCCTCTCTGTCCATAAACAAGAAACTTCCACCTTTGCACTCAAAGTCAAAGAAAATTTAAAATTCTTATGTGGGAAGGTAGAGCCATTGTATGACATCAAAGTAGCTTTAGGGAAATGATTCAGAAAAGTAATGGATGTTTTTATTAGTGTAACATCAAATCGATTACAGAAGAATCGTTACTTTTATTTTCAGAATCTTTTTTTAAACAAAGAAGTGCTTCAGCCTTGATAGTCTTTGCTTGGTTTTGCAAAGAGCTAAATTTTTACTTACACTTCTGAATAATGTTTTTGACTTTAACAAGAGTATCCAGACTATATAAATCTTTTCAGAATTGGGACAGTAGCTGCTGGATCTATAAGTTAGGAAACACAGCTCCAGCATTATAGAAAAGATTGTCCCCCCCCCCCTTTTTTTCTTTAGAACTTTTTGAATATGTTTTGGTTTTCACACCCTTCTGGGGTAAAATGTTTGTAAGCAAAATATAAGATTTCTAACACTGAACACTGCATTCAAAGGCATTCAGTTGCTGATTTTGTCTTCATCTCAATGGTTATTAAATTTGACGGCTTTGGGAAAATGTCTATAAAATGGTAGCCCTTGCTGAAAGGCTTCCAGAAAGCTGCTATAGTAAGTGATATCTAAAAACTGTTTTGGAAATCCACTTCTATAGTTACTTTATTTTACTGTCATATACAATTCTACTTTGTTTATGTGCCAGATATGCCTGAAGGAAGCCCTTTATAGGTAACAGGGTGAACTAAAAAAAAAAAAAAAAAAAGCTCTTCTATTAGATTTTTTTTTTTTTAAAATGGCTGTAACTGAAGGATAGGAGGAATTGTACATGCAACTATGAAACTCATTTTTTTTTGGATTTCCTGTATATTTAACTCTTTGTGTCTCTTTTTTTTTTTTTTAACTGTCACTGCAGCAAATCCATCCTGGAATCAGACTCCTTTTTCTGACTCATACACTGTTGCCAGTAATAATGATTCTGCAGGCTAGACTTTGCCTTCAGTTGAACCTCTGTAACCCTGGTCTTAATGGTGTGACATGAATGTAACCTGAGGCAAAGTTTGGCCTCAAAATTAGATCTTGATCTGCGAGTTGGAGGAAATCTTGCTGTATGTGCCTGTTTTGGGTCTGCAATAAATAGCCCCTCTCATGGTAGACCATTATTTGTTATTTTTAATACAATTGGAACCAGATGCAACAGAGAAGATGCTTGTTAGGTGGTGGGATGGATTAGTTTAGGAGTGTAAACTACTTTCAGATCAGTTCCTTTCTCTTCATTTAGAGAGGTAACTTGGGATGAGTCTGTTCTCCAAACGTGCTAGTTCACATGTAGAAGGTACTTGTTTTATCTTTATGGACCTGAGGGGCATTTAGCTATGGTTAGCTCAATAAAAACTTTTTTATACAGTTGGAAAGCAGCTAATATATAAGCTGCGTACACATGTACAACTGATCTGGGATAATTCTCTCGGGTTTGTTTACCTGTTGGAAAAACTTATCTGGACACACTTGAACAAACATTTGAATGCTGAGCCCCTGAAGATCAGAGAGCTTGCAGGGCTGTGCTGCACAGCAGGGGGAGGGCCGCTATGTGCACACATCAAAGTGCTCTGCAGGTTTCTTCAGTCTTCCTGGAGACAGATGGCAGCAGGGCAGTCCTGATAGGCTGACCTGAAGCAATCTGGATCAGCCAGTGTCTCACTGCAGCACAATGTGGGGATTGTGAAGGAGGCATGTTCTGCTCTCTGCATGGTTGTAGTAGTTCAGCCTGAATGATACAGTACCTTTCTGGGGAGGGAGGCGACAAAACACCCTGGGGTGCTGGAGGACTGTGCTGTGGCTTCTCTCAGAAGGGAACACATACAGAATTTGCTCTCCCAAGAGAAAGTCTCCTGGGACTGATTTAACCATCATCATTCCCTGGGTTATTTTTCTCTTGAAGCAGCCATTTTTGCTCTGGGAGAAAAATGCTGAACATCTGTACGGTCGGTTTCTCCTGGGAGAGCGTTCCTGCCTGGTCTGTTCATTCCTTTCCCTACGTTCCCCTTCCCCCGCATCACTCATCCCCTTCCGTGCACTCTTTGCAGTCCCCTGTGCCCCATCTGGAGCCATAGAAGCTGCATGCTAGGCTAGTAGTCAAATTTAAGAAAAGCATTTTTTCTCTTTCCAGGCGAAAGGGGAGGGGCAGGGGATGGACGATGACCACTTATCTTAGGTTTGAGGAAGTACAGTAATTACACCCTGCTTTTGGGTTGTAGTAGGTGTCAAATTCATAATGTTTCTTCTATGAAAATTGTTACTGGGTCTTTCAAGTATGAAAAGAATTTCCAAGACATTCAGTGCAAAGAAAGGATCTAAAATATTATCAAATGCCCAACTACTAACGGGAAAGAAGAGGTAGATTAAAGAAGAGAGGTATTTTTAAAATTAATGGTTTCTTTCTGGGGCACCTTGCTGCAATATTTTAATGAAAAGTCTAGCTAGACAGCCTTCTGCTGTTGGGTGGAATCCTTGGATCTGGGCCTTCCATCTCCTTTCCCTGGCTAATATGCTTGATATTGCTACCCTACTCCCATTGCTGGGAGAGACTAGATCTGTTTCTTCACAGCCTTGGGTTAGCAGTGGGGAGTTGATTGTTATCCCTGATGAATAAGGCCTGGGCTGGCCTCTTTCCAGAGCTGTCTCAGGAAGCACCAGTGAGAATTCATGACTGTTGTCAGTTTTACTGCTTCCCTCTGGGCTTTGAACAGCAGAAATGAAGCCTACCCATTTTACTTTGCTTTTTGAGCAGCAGCTGTGATGGCGGGGTGGGGGTGGGGGTGGAATGATGATCAGACTCGGGAAGGTGCTTGTCAGTTGCTTATAATAGTTCACATTTGGTGGATTATTTTTGTAACCAAAAGGGTTTAAAAATTGTTTGCCTTTTTTTATCGGAGAGATGAACTGGTGTTCCGATGCTTTCTAGGGAAAGAAATGGTAAAGTGGCCTTTGGACTTATTTCTTTTGAAATGGTTGCATTTTTAATACTCAAAATACCTTTTCTTTTGTAGCAGGATCAAATATTTTTCACCGTTTCTGAAGTGTGTCCATTTAGATTACTTTTTAATGTGTGCATTCTTGTACAAATGCAATGATGGCAACTTGCACAATTTTTCATAATGAAAGCTGAGCACTCCTTTTGCTAAATTTCATAGGGAAAGTGAAACTTTTTGCTGCCGTATCAGATTAAAGGCTTCTGCTGGCTGGTCTGATGAACCTAAATTATAGGCTCTTTGTGGCAGAAAGTGGTCACTTATGATCAAGTTTCCATGTGTTGCCAAATACCATTTTTGGCTGCCTTAACAGCAAATTAATTTGTGTGCATTAGAAAAGTGCAAAAGGAACTGATAGTGCCAGGTTGGCCAGTGCTAAGGAAGCTATTGGTGCTTTTCTGCTGCAAGCATGATGGCAAAGGAAAGCGTTCTGAAGGGCATCCTTTTTGCCCCCAGTTTGCCTTGCTGGTATGGATCATTATACATTTATTTACCTGTTTAATTTTAAATGCTAATCAAGTGGGTGGATGTATGTGCATTTATATTTTGAACCCACAAACCAGAACATATAGAGAAACCAGGCCTCAGTTGTTTCCTGTTAATAATCACCAACACCATACTTCTGTTAGACATCAAAGAGAAGATGTACTGATGTTGCCTTGTTAAAAAAACGCCTCACTTTAAGCAGTGATATAAGGAGTGCAAAAGGTAAACCAGTGAAGCCAGGACAATAAATTCCTTTAGCAGTTGATGTAAAAATATCTAGTGTTAAGTCAGAAAAAAGACTTTCACTGAAGTGAAACAGTCCATTAAGGTTAGAATGTTTTTCTCTGCTCTTTCAGTGCTTTGAGAGACTGCAGATGACCTAGTTTGATATAGTTCCTGAATTGGCTTGGGTTGGATGTGGCTGCATGAGATCTAGCAGACCATGTAAAAAGGGTCACTTGGAATGTCACTGTTCTAAAATGCAACACAGAAATATTTTGTAAGCATAAATGTATAAGGAAGGGTCTATAAAGGCAAGGCCAAGGCGCTAGAGAAATATTGAATCATCCTCTTCAGCGTAACGGACAGAGTACTCGAGAGCCAAGTTCAAGTCTTGGCTATGCCATTGCCCTACTACATGTTCTAGGACAAGCCACTTTATTCTTGTCTGTCTTGTTTTGCCCATCTGCAAAATGGGGATGATAGCGTTCTTCTTTTAAAACACTTCAAGATTTATGGGTGAGAAAAGAGTACAGGAGATCACACACTAGTCTACTTGCTTACTGCTTCTTCCTTCAGATGTAGGACTGTTTTCCCCCAAACTCTTTTGAAAACCTTACTGATGAGCACGTGACTAATTGGTGCGTCTTACCTTTCAGAAATTGCTAACTTAAATTTAATGTGAAAACAATAGGTTATTGTTTTGGAAGAGTTAATAAGCAGCTACTGTTAATGCGTATTAATGTTAAATAATTTTATTAATATAAGAATAAGATCCTGAAGTCCTTCAAGTAGTGCTATTTTAGTTCTAGTTAGTGTATGTTGGTTTAATTCAAATGCTGGTTTTGATGCACTATAAGTTGATTTATAAGATGTGATGCAACTGAATGTGTAGTACAAAAACTTAGTGGGCCTCTCAGATTGAGAAACTTTTCCAGATCAAAATGGCTTTACTTTAGAAGTGAAAATGTTAAATTTCATACAGCTATCTCAGTTCTTGCAGGTCTAACCCCCCTTTCTAAAGGCATGTGGTCCTAACATATTAAAATGCAGTAAGAAGCAAGGTTTTTAGCATTGTGGTGAACTGCGACGTGTCACAAGTCGTTCCATTTTGCAGTGGAGAAAATCTTCCACCTAATATAGATTCAATAGACCCACAAAGTTGTACTTATACTTTTCAAGGTGATAACAGCTTTGAAACTGACCCATAGCCTAGACAATGGGATCTCTTGCCTAAACTTATACCTACTTAGGATCTTTTTTTCTTCATTCTTTCACTAGACCCCAGTTGTCTTTTTCCTGCCCCAGTGACCTTGCGAGGTCCCTTCTAGCCCCTTACAATCTATGAATCTGAATAAATCTGCAATGCTGCCAGCCTGCTGGGGCCTTCGTGATTGGGGGGATGTGGTTAAATACAATTTAAAAAAAATCCAAGTTATATGTATTTGAGGAGAGCCTTCTCAGCAAATTTATTTGGTTCTGAGAGCTCTGCCAGGCAAAAAGCTTAAACCTTGTATAGTACCTGTTTAGCATTTTCCATTTAAAAAAAAATACTTACTATTCTATTCTCTTCTTAAGTATTTGTCTTTTAGGGAATGACTTATCCATAATGTAAAACAAAAAGTACATTGAGCCAGATTGCCATATTGCTGCTGTTGATATTGATAATGGGATTTTAATTTCTTTTTCTCCCCAGTTAAATGGCTCTTGCACCCTAGTGTTTCAGCTATCTTAGTTCAATTTCCTCTGCTCAGTCTCTGATGAGATTCTAACCTTGGGCTTCATCTCTGCAATGTCTTTTTCTGATTTTATTGTCTGACTGCTGAAATGCTGCTCATTAGTTCACTGTGCAATGTTATCAGGTTTTATACTTGGTTTCCCGAAATATTAAGTCGCCACAGGAATTGTACTGCAAGTTTACATTTAAACTGTTCTCAATTTCAGTAAAATATTTGAGAACTACCCAGCCTCGGAGGCATTGCTGTACAAATTAAACTGTCCAGATTGGACGGCAGATTATATGCCTTTTTTCTCTCCCCATTCTACAAAAGGATGACCTCTATCTACTTCCTCCTATTTCTTGTGGAGTGGTAATGCAAAGTGGCAACTGAGCTTTACAGGTCTCAAAGATGTTGGCTGACTCCCCTTTCCCCCCCTTGTTTATCTGTTTTGGTTCGTATTATCTGTTCCTTATTTAAATGGATATGAAGATTTACACTGGAAAAAAAGGAATGCCTCTAGGCCTCTGTTCTGAACCGTAAGACATTTTTTAAGCGGTGAGCTAGCAAACCATTTCTGTAGGGTGCTCAACGCAATCCTTCAGTGGAAGGATGCTTATTCTTTCACACACTTAAGAAGCTGTAGGTGGAAGACACAAGCCATGGGCACCTGTTTTTATCTGTATGCTATATGCTCCTTGGGGCACAAACAACTCATTCTGAATTTTTTTATTTGGGTGACTAATTTATGTATGTAGGACAGCACAACAGTATCTCAAATATGATTGGGCCTACTTGATGCAACTGTGAAACGAGCAGTCAATCCCTTCATGTGCTCGTCTTGTACTAATGGTAGTATCTATGTGCATGGATAGAATTGTGTTACCTGAAATGGTACAGGGGTGTAGGTTGTGGCCATGCTGGTCTAAGGACATAGGCAGACAAGGTTCTTTGGGTAATCTGATATATTTTATTAGACCAACTTAAATAGTTGGAAAACAATTATTAAGCAAGCTTTTGGGTTTACAAACCCTTCGTCAGGCTGAGAAAATTTCAGCAGTAGGTGTGTGCTCTTCCTGGAGGGAATGAAAAGTAAAGAAACCAGAGGCTGGGCTGGTATGCATACAAGATAGGCAGTCAGTGAAGATGTAAATCTTTACTACTTTACTTTTCATTCCATCCAGGAAGAGCACACACCAACTGCAGAAACCTCCTCAGCCTGACGAAGGGTTTTTAAACCCGAAAGCTTGCTTAAATTTTTTTGCCGGCTATTTAAGTTGGTCTAATAAAAGATATCAGATTCACCCAAAGAACCTTGTCTACCTGAAATGGTATGCATTCTTACCTCTCTTTGTTCTGCTTGCTGTATAATCTGTATGGGCAAAATGCAGTCTTAAATTTACATGGTGTTAGAAAATTTTTGGCACAGTATAATTTATTATTTTTATCCCTGCCTCTAGACGTGGCTAAAACACGGATTGATTTAGTTCACCAAGGCAGAACAAACAGTATAACTGCACATTTGGACTCTTAAAAGTGCTAATTTTATGTTTGCATGTTCGGCTGAAAGTCTTGGAGTGCTTTGCATGGCTGAGCTGAAGCCATAGCTACACAGGCAGTCTCCCGTAGAAAGGGAACCTCAAAGCAAAGGCATGAACCTAACTGCTTCAAGACAACTGTAAGCAAGTAAACATCTGCCCTGGGAAGAAATGACCTAGAACGGGCAAAATGTCCTGGGTTAAGATGAATTAGCCTCAGTTCAAGGTTTAGCATTGTGCCATTGCAACTTTTTTTTCTGCCAAAGAGATATGGCGTTTTCTCTGCATGTCCTATTTTGATGGCCATAAAATATTTTAGTTGTATTCATGCAATTATTTTTTAATACATAAACAATTATTTAATTTGCTTCCTTAGCTACAAATGATAACTTGCACTGAAGTGAAATAACGTCATGTAATGGGATGGCCTAATTTCACTTCTGTAGGGGTAACATTCTCCTTCAAAATAACATAACGTGTTTCAACAGCTAATAAGTTACAGGTTCATGTATTTTTTGCTTTTGTAACGCTTTACTCTCTGGTACTACCTCGAATAAGGAAGATCTGCTTTGTATGAAAGGGAGAGTTGTGCTCATAAAGACTTGGCACGGGTAACTTTCTAGAGTTGTGTGGCTTCATTTGTTCCTTTCAGTGGAAACTTACTTCATTTACCTCTATCTTGGTTTAAAATCAGTAGTGCCTTTTATAAAAACAAACAAACAAAAATGGTGGGGTGCACATTAAGCTTTCTTCAAATGAAATATTAGAATTGTCCTTTCACCTGGTTTCCTTGGCAATGGTAATTTATTGCTTCACTCAAGCTTTAACTTCCGCATACTGATTGCTACAGCTTAGGACGCTTATGAGTTTTCTGGCTGCTTCACTTCTTATCCTTTAGAAAACCTGACCCTTAATATAAAACATCTGATACTGAAGAAACTGCACATTACTTGGTAAGTTGTTTGGCTTTCATTAACTGTTTAAAGGTCCACAGTGAATTTGTGAACCTTTTGTCTTTACCGTTAGAGTCTAATTTTCTTATATCAGAAGTGGACTTCATGAAGAAATGTCCTCTCTGAACTCATGAGAAACGAAATGCGCACTCTGTCTGAGCACCTCCTATTCCTAATGGAAAACTTTCTTTTAAACTGCACAATTATGTAATAAGACTCCTCTCCAGGAGGGCACACAGTCAAAGAAAAAGAAATGCAATTATGCCCTTCCGTAACTTAAGTGTCAGAATGTTATGATCATTTATCTTTTATTGCATAGTTTTAGTACAAAAAATCCATAGGTTTATTAGTTCATTTCAGGTAAACTCATGTTTTGTCACTGCTGAAAGGATTTCTTTTAATGTTTAAGTGCAATGGCTGTCTCGTCTGAATCGCTTAAAATGTTCTTGAGTTGTCAGCCTCCCCCTCCTCCTCCCCAGCTTAAACCACTTTAAAACTCCTCCCTAAGTGGCTCTGCCCCAGGGCCAAGCTCTGCGTGGTTCTAGCCCCAGGGTCTCACTAGAGACCTGCCTGGGACCCACACAAGCAGGGTGTGTTCAGCGGGGTGGATGGGATGGGGCAGGGAGTGGCACCTGGGAGCGGGAGTGGGACGGGCAGTGACAGTGCAGGGCTGGAGCCTAGGGCAGACCTGTGATCGGCTCCTGGCATACCCCTGCAAGTGGAACTGGTGTCTGTTGCAGGGACATGCAGGCAGTGGATCATGACTCTGCCCTGGGCCCTGGCCTTGTGTTTATCACTGCCCCATGATCCCTACTTCAGGCCCCACCCTCCTGTCAGGTCCCATACACCACTCCCTGCCCGCCTGCAGCTTCATCCCATTCGCCTGGTTGAGCACGCCATGCCCGCACGGGTCCTGGGCTGGTCTCCATGGAGGCCTCACCTGCCCCTTCCATCTGGTGCCTCCATCTGGGGCAGATGGGTGGGAGTGCCTGGGCAGCGGGGCTAGGTCTGGCAGCGGCAGTGACCCTGGCAGCAGCAGCTGGAAGGAGCTGCTGCTGCTGCTGGGCTTGCTGGGAAGCAGGGTTGGGCTGCAGCACTGCCCCAGCTCCACTGCACCAAACAGGAAAATGCATGGGATATTATTTTCCCCTTTTTGCCTTCTCAACTTTTCCCTAAAACTTTTGCCGACTTGGCCAGCTATTGGAAGTATGTTCATTTGATACAATGAGAACAATTAAAAGGTGCTGTCCTTTTGCCTGAAATTTTGAAAGGTCCTGAAGCAAACACTGAAACGGGGAGCAATTGGTTGGGTCAGCACAAGTGTACTCATGCATGTCCTCTGTAAATGGCAACATGAATTATTAAAGCAAATAAAAATGTTAGGCAATCTGTTAAAAGGTTATTTTTCAGCAAGGAAGCAAAATCTATAACCAGTCATTTTTAAGGGCTTGAGGAGCACACACTTTGTGTTAATCATTAGTTAAAGCAAGACTACATGTGAACTTGCACAGCAGTGAAACTCAACTCAACTTTTAATAACTAACCAGCACTTAACTCAGAGTGTTACAAGAGGGACCGCTGGGCTGCATTTAGGTGTGGCTGAATACAAAATACTTCTGAAAACTGAAGATTCAACCATAAAATGGCACAATCATATTAACATTTTAAATCTTTTGTACATGTGTTCTAACACTATGTAATTATAGGAAAGAATACATAAGACCTTTTTGTTTAGCTGAAATAATTCATAGGTAGTATAATTTTAATTTTGAGATCTGTCCCATAGGTTACTAATGTTGTTACTTTACCATTGCTGTGCAGAAGGTACAAGTTCCCTGCCAGGTCTCATTCCAGACCATGTCCAGTTTCAGTGTGCTGTGGAGGTAGTGCACCCAGTACTATGCAAGGGAGTGGCTTTGGTTGCTCAACTGCAACTCTTAAACTGGTTGAGGAGTGGCACTAGCTTGCATTTTAAGGATACCCTTCCACAGGCTTCACAGCACTTTACAAGCAAGGAGGTTAAAAAATTCCTTTTGTGCGGTGGGATTTCCTTGTGTCCCTGAATTAGAGAGAGACAGCACTGAGGTGAGATCTTTTTGTTGTTTACCTTAAATTGAGCTGAATGGATAGGAACACCAGAATTCTCATTTGGGATCTGTTCCGGGCTCCATCTCGTTGAAGATCTACTCTCTGATGGTAGCTAATGCCAGATGTTTCAGAAGATGTAAGGGTTGTACAAGAGAGGTGCAGGATAATCTACCCAATATTAGGTTTCACTTGGTTTCTAATAGAGATCAAAAAAGGACCTAAAGCATGAGGTTTAACATCCTTCCTTTCCCAGAAGTTTTGTTTGCAATAGCAGCAGCAACCTTGGATAGTAGTTATCCCTACAGTAGCCCTTAGATGCAGTTCTGCTTACGTAGGTAAAACACTGAAATCCCTTGTCTTATTAATGACACTAATGTTATTGATCATCCGAGGGTTAATATAATTGAAGTGCTATTAAACACTTCAGTTACATAGTGTTTGTGTATTTGTGTATGTATCATATGCAAATTGTGCAACTATAGAAATGATGAACAGATATGTATGGTGGTGAGAGGCACATCTATCTTTGAGTGTTGAGGGGGAGATGGAAAGAAAGCAAAGAGCTCAGTTTGAGAATTTGCCTAATCCTCAATACATAAGGATTTCATACTGCTCAGCGAGGACTTTTTTGATTATAGTAGCAGTAATGTCAACATCCTTGGTTTTAATGTCAATGAAAAATGCTGTCTAGTAGAAGAAAGGTAATTACTTTACAAGTTTGCTTTCTTATTTTTCTGCCTTTTATAATGGAGAGTATTGTTTCCTTCCACACAGTTGCAACAGAGCTAAGCACTATTTTAAGATGACTTTCTTGTGATTTCCCTTCCTGCCTTGGGGGCATAGACTGGAAGGGACCTACTGGGTCATTGAGTTCAGTTAGTTCGTTGCTCTCTTGGGCAACCACATCACAAAATCCTGTTCCTTGACTGATGACGCACTGTCTTAAAAGCATTTGTTTTTTTTTTTTTTCTCCCACCACTCCAACTGAAAGGCTGTTCCAGATCTTTGCTGTTTTGATGGAAAGAAGCCTATCTTTTAATTTCTTTTAATTTCCTATGTAGATTTATATGTGATTAGTTGATACCCATTTGTACTGAACCTCTACACTCAAATTTCATAAATATCACGGAGGGAACAATTTCCTTTACATTCAGGTAGAATTGGACAAGATGGAAGAGGAGCATATGTTTTTAATACAATTGTTGTAGATTTGTTGGAATATTTTCATGATTTGGCCAGAAGCTTATTCTGTTTTCTTACAAATGCCATTTAAAAATTATTCGGTCATTTCTACTGTGAGTCCCCTAAGTAATTACAGCGTTCACAGGCATTGTATAGAGGTATTGTTATGTCTGTTTGCTGCAGTCAGTGACGGGTTTTGGGAGGAAGTGGTGGGAAAGAGAAGAGGGCCTGGGCAGGAAGTCCAGATGTGGGAGAGTTGTGGCATTGGTATTTATTCAGAAATTCCTAGAATATATAGGGCTCTGCCTTCTGTTTACAACATGTTTAAATGTCACTTATGTAAAGTTGAGTGCATTATCTTTTGAACTACAGAAACATCTTCAGTCTATATTTATAGTAAATAGAACATTTATTAAACGTGACTTAAACATCACTCAACAATGTCTGTCCTTTTTTTAACAAAAGGAACAGAAAGTGCATGAAAAATATTCAAGTCAATGGACAATGACCACTTATGAGAAGGCAGAGTGTGTGTGCATTCTTTCTTTAAAAGTATTGAAAATTTCATAATCTTGAAATATGATAAAAATATCTTTTTGTCTTTCCAAAGGCCATTACATTTTTAATTAGAATATCTAGCCTTTATAAGCATACTTTTTATTTTAAAAATTGCAACCCTCTAAAGACTAACATTGTTTGCTTGCCTCTAAAATATTCATGTGGACAATTTTAACATGATTATAAACTTACTTTTGCTTCAAAAATAACACAAAGCAGATCTTTCAGTAAGGACAAATCTAGCGTTTTTATTCTGCTTTCAGTATGTAACTTTTATTCTGCTTAGCAGTCAATCTGACTGCTATTCTGCTCTCAGTAAGGACAAATCTAACTTTTATTCTGCTTCAACTTGTTTAGTTTCTGTCAATAGCTTACAAATGCCCTAGTCTCCTATGTTTATATGCTTATAAAATGAAGTGGAAGGAATCCTGGTCAGAAAACAGAAGACAAAGACCCCTATTGCCTCTATCAGGGCAGGCATTGTAGACCACTTTAAACCTCAGTACCTGCACTTCTGGCCCATAGTACATGTTACATATATCATGCAATTAACTGGTTAATTGTGCAGCAAATTTGGACTGGCCACACATGCGAAGTAATTAGCACACAATTAACTCATTAATCCCACAAGAAATTTAGACCAGCCACGTGTAAAATTATTATTGCATAATCAAAATGATTATTCAGTTCTAAAAGAGCCAACCAGCTATAAAGTTAGTGCTTGTAAATCTGTAACAACTCTGTAGCTGGTTTCTATCCAGCTTTAATTTGAATGTGTAGCAGGACCCTCAAGGTAATTAGCGCCTAATCAAATTAGCTGCAGTATTTTGTCTGCACTGTAAAACTTCTTACTGGAGTGGAGAATGAGGCTACGAAAGTAGGTACAGGTTTCCCTCACTTTATGCTGTACATGTGTTCCTGGAAAACGGTGCATAATTTGAATTTGCATAAAGGGAGCTTGCTTTACAGTGTAACAAATAGGGATATGTTCCAAGACCTCGACTGTACTGACCCCAGACCTGTTTCTGCCACTTTTACTAGACAGTTTTGGTACTTGCCAATAGCAGACAGTACACACAAGCACCCAGGACATTATCATAAATGGGGATGGGAACTACAGAAATTGTCGCAGACAGTGAGCAAGGAGCACAGATCCACACAGGAGATGATATTTTGGTGTGTGTCACTCCCACAATGCACTGCACAAAGCAGCTGACTCTGGGCTTCCACCACACCGATCGCATGAGCGTGAATTTACCTTGCGTATAATGAATTTTTGGTATAAAAAGGGTCATCGCATAAGAGCGAATTTGCACATACAAAACGTGCGTAAAGCAAGGGAAACCTGTAGTTTTAGTTTTAGACAGTTTTAGTGCAAGAGTCACCTTAAAATGCTGTTTAGATTAGTTCATTATTTAGATCAGTGGGGACCAACCTTTTTGGCAGCTGTGTCATAAATTAGCCCTGCAGCCCCCCTGAGTGCTGCTCTAATCCCCTGTCTCTGCCCAGTCTGGTGCTCTGTTTTGTGCACCCTGTCCAGTGTCCTGCTCTGCTTTCTGCTTCCTGCCCTGCCTGATCTGCCTTGCCTTATGCTTCCCACCGTATCAGCTGCCGTGCTGCCTGTCCTCCTCTGATCGGCATGCCTCACGCAGAGGCTGCCTATGGCACTTGTGGTGATAAGAGACCATTTCTTCAGCACTCCTTACCTTCTCCTAATGCCAGAGTTTTGAAATGAAAGCTTGTCTGCTTCTGTTGGGGAAAAGAAGCCATATAAGCATCTTAAACAATAACTCCTAAAAATCTCCAAGACTAATATTTAACCATCTATAAAATTAAACTCCACTAGATTTGTGGAGTGTGGATCAGGGACTTTTTAGCAGTTCTTCTTCCCTCTAGTTTATCTATGTAACTTATTACCTAGAACTGCTTTTTAAAGAGCGCTTTGTCTTGGGATGGTGCCTTTATTATAACATCCTGTTTTTAAAAGGGTGCCCCCAGGGCTAGCTATAGATGTTCAAAAAGCCCAAAGCAGAATGGGTCTGTTCTGATGTACCCTCGAGGTACACTGAAAGGTCCCAGGGGGTATGTGTGGGCAGGCAGGGATGGAGTGCTGCCACCCTGCAGGGCCCTGGCAGGGCAAGGGCAGCAGCGCCTCTGGGCCAAACAGGCCAGCCGGATGCAGGGAGCAAATCTTGCATGTGGTGGCTGCTGCTGCCATTCACCACCCTGCGTTGCTGCTCCGTGCATGGCCACGGTCACTCCTCCACCCCTCAACTGGCCGCCGGGGTACACTGCTCACAAAAGGTCAAAAACCCCCGTGTTAGGTGGTTTTCTGTTAATGGCGTAGTTTAGATCGGTAGTGAATAGGACACATTTGCCCGCTGGCTTCGGATCACTTATATTGATAAAAATGTAATGTCTGTACCTGGCCTTGAAGCAGGAGAAGCGTCTTTGATGTCCAGTCAAGAATGATGTGATGGGCCGATGTTTAATGTTACTTTCTCTCTTCCTCTGCTCTGCCCTGCACTTCTACCTCTCAAGAATTTTAAAAATGAAAAAAAAAATAAAGAACTGTTTTTAATTTGCTGGCTGGGAAGAAATGGGACTTAGAAATTAAAGAGAATAAATATTAGCTGGTTTGTTTTGTTGAATAAACTGTTGGCATGGCACATTCTTTGACTTAAGTCTTAGTCTTAAGAACGCAGGGTTTTAAATTTTAAATTTATGAAAGTATATGAAAGCAAGCTGACAAACAATGAGAATTAATTCTGTTAATTACTTTCACCACTACACATTGGGGCATGCAGACGTATTAAGCAGAAACCCTTTTTTTCCCCTCAAGTGTTTAGAACTTTGCTAAAATTGAACTGCACCGTTGCCTTTACCGCCTCCTTAAGTACAGCTGAACCAGTTTGTCTCTAATGTGTTTCTAGTTACCTCTGCAGAGACATAAACAGAAGGTTCCTGCTCTGATATTTTGAATTCCTCAAAACATTTCCCCTCCAAATTTAGGATGAAGCGCCAAAGCTCCTCCCTCCCCCATCCCAACTATTTGTAAGAGAGCCCTTTTTAACCGTAAATCTTAACAAAGTGTAAACTTTTACTCCTTTATTTGGGTGCATACAGTGCACCAAGCGTGCCTAGTATTTTCAGTGAAAAGTTTTCTCTGAATCTGGTTTACAAAGTGTCTGGTTCTTGAAGCAGCTCAGCAGTTGTGGGGAGAGGTGAGATACTTGCCTTTCCTGCATCAGATCAAATGAGTAAGGCATGAATTGATTGACAGATGTTATACTTCATGCTTATAGTTCACGCTTAAATGTTAATATTTTTAGAAACATATTAGACAAGCGTCTGCCAAGCATGGTGCAGGATGCTGATGCTAGTCCAGACCGCAGTAGCCAGGCAGAATCTCTTTTGACCTTTCTTTTAGCTCATGTGGCTTATCCTGTGCAGGGCTTTTGTCTTTTTGAACCATAAACACAGGTTGGGAAGTAGCGTGATACAAGAGAGCCTCTTTGTAACAAGTTATTGCTGTTTTGCAAGTGAGATATTTGAACAGGTATTCATATGGTATAAAATCCAACAGACGAGAATAAGACTTTTCATGAACACTGCTCAAGATAGTAGGGATTTTTTTTTTCAAGATTTCATACCTTCCCCCATTTTCAATTGGGATCAAGTTCTCCAGTTTTTGCAAATGGATAATCTGGAAAAAAGCTTTGGACCATTCAAAATTTTGTTTTGCAGTGTGTTGAAAGAAAAAAATAATTTTAAACTGTAATTTTTTTTGTTTTCAAGTATGCCAGAATAGAAACTTTTAAATTTTGAAACTCTGACAAATTGTGAGATTTGTCAAAACTGACCTTTTGCCACAGTTTGATAAATGGGCATTTTCCAATGAAAAAAATACTTTTGAGAATTCCCATCAAACACTAATCAGTACATCATCTTTATTGATGATACTTACTTGTGCCCAGGTAGTGAATTGGGTCAATAATCTGTTGACAACATCAAATAATGTATTTCCAAAAAAAAAAGTAAAATAATAAAAAGATTACGTGCTTCTCTTTTTCCTGCAGAGAGTGTGTGGAAATTGATAGATGCTTTCCTGCTGGTCAGCTTTGGGGGCTGTCGTCCTGACTTTTTTGTGGAAATGTTTTAATATATATTTTTTAAAACCATCATTTTCAGCTGAAAGTTTTTGGCCAGCTCTACTACTAAGCTTGGCTTTCACAGTTTCTTCTTGAAAGCACTTTTAGTGCTTGTAGGTGGCTGCAGCACTTGTAGCTCACTGATCTGAATAACCACTATTGTATTATTTCTGTTCCTCTGTTCTGTACCCAGGCCTTTAACCTTGCATTCATTTTTTTTAAAAGTCTAAGCAAATACATGACAGCATGGTACAGGGTTCACCTTGCCCCTGGTATACAATGGACATTTATCAAAAGAAATATCTTGCTGGTTGAGTAAAGTTCTGATTGTTTTGAGAATTCAGCATAATTGCCCAGGCTGGGCTTTGTTAGTAATTAGGTGTTTGGGTGTTTTGGCCAGTATTGTTGCCTGATTCTATGAAAGCTCTAACCAAAGCCAACAACTGCACCTTAACTCAGTGCCTGTACTTGTAGGAGGCAAAGGGCAGCATGTCTGAGCTTTCTGTTTTGGTGCACCCAGGCTGGTGAATATGCAGCACGGTGCATCTTCTCATGGGCTTGTACCAGTGTACATGCACATTCTCTTGCATGACAGGTGAGGTTCAGGGTACATTTTAAAGTTGCAGTTTAGCTTCTCTCTCAAAGCAGAGGACTTTGTTACTCACTTGGCTTGTCTACGTGTGTATTTAAGCACACTTACATTTACGTGCATTAAGTGTTTTTGGCAGGTATCTACAGGTGGTGAGAGTTGAGACTAACTTTAGTCCCAAGTTGCTCCAGCCCTTCCTTGTGCCCCTTTGGCCACCAAGGAGAGCTCTATCCTCCGGACACTTGACAGCCATGTTGAAGCCAAAGCCAGAGCCAGTTGCTAGCACCCGACAGGCATCTTGGAAGCTCTGATCCCTTATAAATGCCTTCCCTGCCCAGGGGCTGCATGTGCAGTGCAGGGACAGCATGCGCCAGCTCCCTCCTTGCCCACCCTGCATCTTTGTCCCAAGGCTGCCCCTGCCTCTGTTCCTGCTAGCAGTGCCCAGCACCCTGTTGCTTCAGCCCAGCCCTTGCCAGTAACAACGAGTACCCCTCGTTTCTGCTGGCCGTGGTGCTGGCCTTGCTGGTCCCGGGAGGTCTCCTCACCCCTCCACTAGCCCCCGTCCCCAGGCCAGCCATGCACCCACCAGTGGGGGCTAGAGCACTGTGCTCCCTGCTCCAGCCTGCCTGCCCCACCTTCCACACACTCCCTACCCCCACCACCACTCTCACAACATGCACATGGTTTAAAAAAAACCTTTATTGCTCTCACAACCCCTATCCCATCCCTTTCCCCTCAATGCATAGAGCTCCCTCACTAGTCTCTCCCCAACACACAATGCTCTTCCACGACCCTCCCCACCCACCACTAATAAAAAACCCTCTCTCCAGTGTCAGGCTATTTACAAGAGGCTCAGTCTGTGTCTGAGAGTCCCAGACTGGGTGGCTGTGGAGTGGGGGCACCTAGGGGGCAGAGCCTGGCACCTCAGCCGTGGGTACTTCCCCTGCAAGTCTGGGGGCTGCAGCGACTACAGTGGGTTGTGGGCACGTCCATGGCCAACACCAGACAATGCTCCTTCAGGGCAGGTAGCTCTCCCTCTGCCCGCCCTAGTCCAGGGCCAGTGTCTCCTTGTGGCGCCGCACCGGGCACCTCCTGGTGTTCATACCCATGGCTTTAGATTGAGTGGTGCGGCTGAGCCCAGGTAAGTGGCAGTGGAGCCAGGGACGGGGCCAGAGGTACAGTGGCTAGGAGGCACTGGAGGGCTGCCTCAGGGCTGGGTGGGGCCTGGCTGCAGGGTTGCATGTGGGGGCTGGGCTGTGGTGGAAATGGCTGCTACTGCCAGGGCTCTCTCCTGCGTCCACATGTTGGCTCTGTAGAGGCAAGAGATGGAAGGCTTTAGTGACAGTTTGCAGCATGTCAGAGATCAGATGGCCAGGGGCCATGCGCTGTCTTCCCTCAAATCAGGGGTTGGCTGTGCATGGGTGCCCAGGGACTGTGGTAAGCTTGGCTGGGCAGGGTGGGGCCCAGGTAGCCATCGGCTGAGTCCCCCCTCCGCATGCACTCCCCTGGGCCAGCGGCCCACTGTGTGCTGTGCGCAGGCAGCCTTCCTTCTCGGTCTGCTTCCCAGAGCAGGACAGGCCAGGTTGCTGGCAGTGACCACGTGGTTCCAGACTCCGCTCCACCCCACTATCCCTGCAGTCCAGCTACACTGCCACTCAGCCCATGTTACCCAGGCTTGGGGTGTGCAGGCCTCCCAGACAACTGGGGCAAGGGGCTGGGGACACCCCTGCTCGCCCCGCAGGGAGCCTTTCCTGGGAGACACCCTGGGGTTGCCTCCCCCCAAGGAAACCACTGTGCCCCAAGCATGCCCCTGTTGTGTGTGCCCTGGGTGGTGTGTGATAAGCTGTTCGTGCAGGCTGAGGGGTGCCCGACTCACTATGCCCTGTTGTTGCTGATCCTTTTGGTGTCCCAGGCACACCTGCTGTCCTGGTTTAAGGCTATGATAGTGTTGGGGGCAGGCCCAGCCTGCCCCACAACCTCTGCCACTGTGTGGAGTGCTACCTGTGGCAGTGCTACACATCCCTGCCCCCCTGCTACTGAGGAGGACATTGCTGCCAGCACCAACGCCTTCCTCAGTGTGTGAGAGGCCTGTGCGTACCTAGCTATGGGGGCACAGGCTGCTCAATAAAGTTTTGACCTGTGTCCCACCTCTCTGCCTGCTGTGAAGTGTGGGTAGGACCAAGGGCAGAGCAGGGACCTTGTGTCTGGGGCTGGCAAGGCTGGCAGCTCAGCATGGGGCTCCCTGTTGGTGACGGTGACGAGCTGCCCCCGGTGTCTGCAGCGTGGGCTGGCACCCAACCAGGCTCCCCCCCAGGGGAGGGGCTGGCGGTGGCTGGTGGTGTCCTGCCTGGCTGCTCCTCCTGGTGAGGGCTGGGGATACAGAGCAGATGAGGCAGCCACTAGCTGGGGCTCCCTGAGCTGGGGAGGTGGGTGAGGCAGGGTGCTGAACACCCAAGGGCCCCTCCTCTGTCGAGGTGTCAACACCAGATTTTTCAGGCTGGGGCAGAGGCTCAGCCAGGCTGCTTCTCCTGGTGTACACTACAGCGTTGCAGCCTGGGTCCCGGGGCACTAAAATCTGGCTTGGCTTCCATGTGAAGGGCATGGTCTTATGGGCATGACCAGACCAGCAGTTGTCAGTCATGGCCACACACTCCCCCCCC